ACATCTGTTAATAGTAGAAGCACGGACAGCGTATATATATACTTCCGTGTAGATTAGTATACACGGGAAATGCACCAGGAAGAGAAATAAGTATATTCATATATACATACAGATGTTTATACAAAGCGTATGGCTTCACACAAGCATACACAATTATCTACACTCCAACATACACTTTCAGCCAGGATCTGGAGTGAATTGTAACAAGAGATTGGTGACTGTAGAGGCGAGACAGCAGTCCCCACAACCCTCACCTGATCACAACAGTTGTATAAGCCCCCCACAACCACTGCCCTTATTTTATCCTCTACCCTCTTCCCTCAACATCTATCCCATGCTCCTATCCCGTCCCTACTCTGGGACGGGATACCTGATTTCACTTTCCCATCCAGGGATTCCAGCCCCTTTAATTCCACTAATCATCTTGGTGTCCCAAACTCAAATCCCTAATCCTTTTCCCCCCTCCTAATTACCACTATATTTTCGTCTAATCCAGCCCTTGGCCCTTCAGTGTTCCTAATCCAACAATATATATATATATATATATATATATATATATATATATATATATATATATATATATATATATATATATATATATATATATATATATATATATATATATATAGATATATATATATATATATATATATATATATATACATATATATATATATACATATATATATATATATATATATATATATATATATGTATATATATATACATATATATATATATATATATATATATATATATATATATATATATATATATATATATATATATATATATATATATATATATATATATAGTCTACATATATATATATATTATTAAATATGACCGAAAAAGTAAGATTAATAATTCTAACACGAATTTTCTCGATCTTTCGTACGTTTCTTTTCACTGTTGGTGGTAATTCAAAAATCAATTCTCCAAAATTCATTTTTATTTCTAGTCTGACGCGACACTTGAGCGCGTTTCGTAAAACTTATTACATTTTCAAAGACTTTAGTTTACACATACACAACTGAATAGAACTTACACATCTTCGATTTGTTTATATCTACATTTGAGTGAGGTGGATGGGCTGAGGTGGTATTAATAGGGTATTAAATTCCTAAACACAAGACAGAACACGAAACAATGGGTATTGAATGGAAGTGATTGTAGAAAGCCTATTGGTCCATATTTCTTGATGCTTCTATATTGGAGCGGAGTCTTGAGGTGGGTAGAATATAGTTGTGCATTAATTGGCTGTTGATTGCTGGTGTTGACTTCTTGATGTGTAGTGCCTCGCAGACGTCAAGCCGCCTGCTATCGCTGTATCTATCGATGATTTCTGTGTTGTTTACTAGGATTTCTCTGGCGATGGTTTGGTTGTGGGAAGAGATTATATGTTCCTTAATGGAGCCCTGTTGCTTATGCATCGTTAAACGCCTAGAAAGAGATGTTGTCTTGCCTATATACTGTTTTTTTTGGAGCTTACAGTCCCCAAGAGGGCATTTGAAGGCATAGACGACGTTGGTCTCTTTTAAAGCGTTCTGCTTTGTGTCTGGAGAGTTTCTCATGAGTAGGCAGGCCGTTTTTCTGGTTTTATAGTAAATCGTCAGTTGTATCCTCTGATTTTTGTCTGTAGGGATAACGTTTCTATTAACAATATCTTTCAGGACCCTTTCCTCCGTTTTATGAGCTGTGGAAAAGAAGTTCCTGTAAAATAGTCTAATAGGGGGTATAGGTGTTGTGTTAGTTGTCTCTTCAGAGGTTGCATGGCGTTTCACGTTCCTTCTTATGATGTCTTCGACGAAACCATTGGAGAAGCCGTTGTTGACTTGGACCTGCCTTACCCTACAGAGTTCTTCGTCGACTTGCTTCCATTCTGAGCTGTGGCTGAGAGCACGGTCGACATAAGCGTTAACAACACTCCTCTTGTACCTGTCTGGGCAGTCGCCCAGGTACAGGTACAGGATGGGGCGTCTCATCTTGGGCCACCAGCTGTGGGAGTGGGGCGTCTCATCTTGGGCCACCAGCTGTGGGAGTGGGGCGTCTCATCTTGGGCCACCAGCTGTGGGAGTGGGGCGTCTCATCTTGCGCCACCAGCTGTGGGAGCGGGGCGTCTCATCTTGAGCCACCAGCTGTGGGAGTGGGGCGTCTCATCTTGGGCCACCAGCTGTGGGAGTGGGGCGTCTCATCTTGCGCCACCAGCTGTGGGAGCGGGGCGTCTCATCTTGGGCCACCAGCTGTGGGAGTGGGGCGTCTCATCTTGGGCCACCAGCTGTGGGAGCGGGGCGTCTCATCTCGGGCCACCAGCTGTGAGAGCGGGACGTCTCATCTTGGGCCACCAGCTGTGGGAGCGGGGCGTCTCATCTTGGGCCACCAGCTGTGGGAGCGGGGCGTCTCATCTTGGGCCACCAGCTGTGGGAGTGGGGCGTCTCATCTTGGGTCACCAGCTGTGGGAGTGGGGCGTCTCATCTTGGGCCACCAGCTGTGGGAGTGGGGCGTCTCATCTTGGGCTACCAGCTGTGGGAGTGGGGCGTCTCATCTTGGGCCACCAGCTGTGGGAGCGGGGCGTCTCATCTTGGGCCACCAGCTGTGGGAGCGGGGCGTCTCATCTTGGGTCACCAGCTGTGGGAGTGGGGCGTCTCATCTTGGGTCACCAGCTGTGGGAGTGGGGCGTCTCATCTTGGGCCACCAGCTGTGGGAGTGGGGCGTCTCATCTTGGGCCACCAGCTGAGGGAGCGGGGCGTCTCATCTTGGGGCCACCAGCTGTGGGAGCGGGGCGTCTCATCTTGGGGCCACCAGCTGTGGGAGCGGGGCGTCTCATCTTGGAGTAACCTTTCTAACATTGGGTCCTCTAACATTTGGATGGTGTTCCACACCCTGATGGCTTGGTGCTGCAGTCTGATGTTTAGTGGCTGTATGTTCAGGAGTTCATGGAGCTCCTGGATTGTCTGATGATATGGTGGACGGTGTTTTGCTGCTCTCCTTAGCGCCTTATTTTGTACTGCTTGCAGTTTCTGCATGTTAGTTTTCTTTATGGTGTGTAGTGGTACTGGGGGATACTCTAGATGCGGCCGAACTAGAGCCTTATATAGGTGGATCTGAATGTTAGTACTGAGGCTTCGGAATCTTCTCAGTTTTCCTAATGCTGCTTTGGCTTTGTTTAGTCGGTCCCTTACATGATTTGTATCCCTGTTCTATTGATCATAAGTCCCAGTATTCTGCCTACCTCCGCATATTGGATCGGATGGTTGTCAAGGATGATGGGGTCCGGGTTTCTTTTCGCGATGTGTATTATCTGAAACTTTTGTTTGTTGGTGTTAATTTTCCATTGCTTCTCAAAGTTGTTTATGAGTTCAATTGCTGCTTTGGTCTTGTTGGCTAGTAGCGGTTCCTCCCTTCCCCTTCTACTCCATTACGAGCCCCTCCCCCACTCTCACAGAGGATGGGGAGGCCGGAGATGGGTAAGAAACACGTTACCTCAGGGGGAGGATAAACCAGGAGAACCCAGATGTAATTATATGAGCCAAAAAAACAAAATCCAGGAGTCACAACAAAGGAAGTATTTACCCAGGATTAGTCAATAATAACAAGAGAAAGAAGGAGAAAGGGGGGGGGGAAGGGAGTGGTGGAGGGAATCTGAAGAGCCTGATGGAGATTTGAGATGGTAATCCCATGATATGAAGGGTTCAATGACTCTATAAATGGCTCCTCCTCCAGTTACAGAGCCTCCTCTAGCCATAGAGCCCTCCCATGAGAATGGGAGGGCTCTATAATTAGAGCCAATATACAACCTTCTAGAGGAGGACAGAAGGTTCTAGAAGTATCGTGATATAAATAAGACAACTACAAACATCATATTAAAGGCTGCTTCAGTTTCAATTATGAACTGAGCGTGTTGCATAGTCATGGGAGACTTCAATGGTGGTCAAATAGACTTGGAAAGCAGTGAGACATGGTCAGGTAAACTATTATTATCTTCGTACTGTACAAGAAGACCATCTGTAGAGATATTCAAACATCACTATGGATTTAATTATGACGAATTATGTTACAACCTTTTGTTACACCTTTTCTTCCCTCTACACCTGAGTACACCTTTTGTTACACCTTTCCTTCTCTCTACACCTGAGTACACCTTTTGTTACACCCTTCCTTCCCTCTACACCTGAGTACACCTTTTGTTACACCTCTTTCTTCCCTCTACACCTGAGTACACCTTTTGTTACTCCTATTCCTCACAGACGTCTTTCTTACTGCCTCTCTCATTTCCCTACATTTCTCCCTTTCTACACTCTTCTCTCTCTTATATACCCTTCCCTCTACACCCTTCCATTCCTTGTGTACCGCCCTTCCCTCTCCCTCCTGCTGGGATGAGGTAAAGTACACCTGCCACACCTGGTACACCTGCCACACCTGGAACACAACTAATTACCTGCACATCCTGCGTGGTGCCCTCTGGAATGTGC